ATATTGCAGTCACTGTAGCATCAGTTGCAGCAGAAGGGAACTGTTATAAGGGAATGACAGAGAGAGCAGGTCTGGAGCTATAATCATCAGCATTGTCCAGGGAATAACAGCAGACGAACCATTCAAAACAGTTGCTGGACCAGCTAGAGGAACAGGTGGAACAAAATTGCAGTAGTTGGACCAGGTGGAGTACACTATGCAACAGTTGGACCAGCTGGAAGAATAGATTATGCAGAATAGGCACCAGTGGCTGGGCCAGCAAGAACAGTGGTTGAACCCCATGGCAGACAAGATGTAGTTGAAGTTTCTACTTGTGTAGGAACATCTGCTGGGTAAGTCTTTCAGGCCAGAGTCAAGAAAGCTTGGACCACTTGTAGTGTGTGGCCATTACTAGGTTGGTGTATTAAGAACAAACGAGTTCTTTGGGAAGGGGAAAAATGGGAGGAACCTGAATTCTAGTCCACCTGCATTCTCACTGGAGGGAACCAGTCATGCCAGAGCAAATAATTGCACAATAAGGCACAGGAGCTCAAGGGTTCACTTCAAACTGCTGACAAAAGAGGATGGCTGCTCAATGAACTTGAAATGGTCACTACTGGAAATTCAGGTGTGTTTTTCTAAGGTGGGGCAACATTGGTACTGGTCTGTGGTGGATGTTCTATACTCAGACATTTCTTTCCATCATTTTTTTCATTCAAATACGCCTCTAGTCATCACAGAGATCAGTTATGACTCCAACTCCAATAGCCTGAGGTATAGAAAAATCTTATTTCAGTTATTAGGTAAGCCTTAGGGTTAGAGATGGTGGTGTATAGTGGAGTGGTGTATTTAGGTAAGGTCAGGCAGACATAGGATATGGATATTCTTGGTCTTGTGGCTGCTCCTAAACCCTTTGGTAACTATTGCCACATATCAATACCTCTCAATTCTGTTTTAATAATAGGCCTTATGTAAAGTAAAAGGACACAAGTGCAACTAATGTGACATTTTATTGTGGCAACGTTTCGCTCTCCAGGAGCTTTATCAAGCCATTTACTTTCGCTTTACATATTGTCGGTAATTCTACCAACTTTATTACAATAGGCCTTATGAAGAACATAGATTATGACAAAATGTGCCTTAGATTAAAACTGGAATACAGTGGTAGTGTTATGTTTACACCTAAACAAAAAAAGTGGATAAGATAAGAAGAATCTAAGCATATGTTTCAGAGTGGTCCCCAGGACTTAAAAATGTAAGTTATAGAGGCAGAGCAAAAACACTATAACTGCCATCATTTGGCAGGAGAAAAAAAAAGGAGGGCATGATAATCACATTTAAAGTAGTGCTACAAGGTCATGAAGGATATGAAAAAAAAAAAACAGGTTTAGTACTATCAACAGGGAGTACTGGAATGTGTTTCTTCATTACTGCGTAGTTGATGAATAAGATGCATGTGCACATGGCTTATTTATTAACTTGTCATTATTGTATATATCATTACTGCTACAGACGGAGAGCAGGATAGCAGATGAACAAGGTGGCTTTAGGAAGGGTAGGGGTGTGTAGACCAAGTGTTTGCAGTGAAACATATAGGTGAACAGTATTTAAATAAGGGTAAAGAGGTTTTTGTGGCATTTATGGATTTGGAAAAGGTGTATGATAGGGTGGATAGGGGGGGCAGTGTGGAAGATGTTGCAAATGTGTGGAATAGGAGGTAGGTTATTGAAAGCAGTGAAGAGTCTTTACGAGGATAGTGAGGCTCAGGCTAAAGCATATAGGCAGGAGGGAGATTATTTCCCAGTAAAAGTAGGCCTTAGGCAGGGATGTATGATGTCACCATGGTTGTTCAATATATTTATAGGTGGAGTTGTAAGAGAAGTGAATGCTTGGGTGTTGGCAAGAGGTATGGGGTTAAAAGATAAAGAATCTAACACAAAGTGGAAATTGTCACATTTGCTCTTTGCTGATGACACTGCTTTTGGGAGATTCTGAAGAGAAGTTGCAGAGGTTGGTTGATGAGTTTGGTAGGATATGTAAAAGAAGGAAATTAAAAGTGAATATGAGAAAGAGTAAGGTGATGAGGATAACCAAAAAATTAGGTAACGGAACATTGGATATCAGATTGGAGAGAGAGAGTATGGAGGAGGTGAATGTATTCAGATATTTGGGAGTGGACCTGTCAGCAGATGAGTCTATGAAGGATGAGGTGAATCATAGAGTTACCGAGAAGAAAAAGGTGAGTGGTGCACTGAGGAGTCTGTGGAGACAAAGAATTTTATCCATGAAAGCAAAGAAGGGAATGTACGAGAGTATAGTTATACCAACGCTCTTGCATGGGTGGTGAATGTTGCAACAAGGAGAAGACTGGTGCAGTGGAGATGTCATGTCTGAGGGCAGTGTGTGGTGTGAATATAATGCAGTGACTCCATAGTTTGGAGATAGGTGGAGATGTGGGATTACCAAAATTATTATCCAGAGGGGTTATTGAGATGATTTGTTCCAGCAAGCATGCGTGAACATGTTAGATAGAAGCAAATGGAGACAAATGGTGTTTAGGACTTGACATGCTGTTGGAGTGTAAACAAGGTAACGTTTATGAAGGGATTCAGGGAAACTGGCAGGCCAGACTTGATTCCTGGAGATGGGAAGTACAGTGTTGGCACTCTGAAGGAGGGGTGTTAATGTTGCAGCTTTATAACTGTAGTGTAAGCATGCCTCTGGCAAGACAGTGATGGAGTGAATGATGGAAGTTTTTCTCTTTCAGGCCACCCTGCCTTGGTGGGAAACGACCAATGTGTTAATAAAAAAAAAATAATGCGGCTACAAATATGTAGTGTTTGAATATCAACAGGAGTATTTGCATATTTACTACACTGAGCAACATACATAAATAGGCAATGGCATGAGTTTAAGATTTGAGAGAATCATTAACACGTTTAGTGAGCATCCATGTACACTAGTTACCTGTATTTTATGATCTGTTCATGCACTGATGAGTAGATCATAAAATTATAACCCTGCGATATACAGTAATTGCATGGGGGTTGAATTTTATTTGACTTCAAAGACAGACCAGTAAGATGAGTTCATTTCATTCCTGTTTGCAAACACTTTACCATTAACGTGCACAATTTTATATGTTGCACAAGTACTCATTGTAATGTCAGACTAGATATGCTCTGTAAAATTTATAGGGGAATTGACTGCCAGTTTATACCCTCTCTGTGTGAGGTCATTGTTGTAGTCACTAAATCTCAAAGTATTTTGAATGTTGTTGTTATGTTTCCTCTGACTCTTCAGGTCTTCAGTGTTGTGAGGTTCAGCTTTTCAAGCTTGTCCCTGAGGTTTTTTCCTTGAGTTAGTGTCCTTGATGCTGGCAAGGGGCTCTTGATCTAAGAAAATTCAACCTAGCCTCCCTTCCTTGGATCATAACAAATTGCCTCCCATTCCCCGAGGCGCTGTATGACACTTGTGGGTTTAGCGCTTCTCCATAAATGTAATAATGCAGTAACTATGCTCTAGTGCTCATTTTAAAATTTATTCTGTATTTGAAGAGGTATGGATTATTTTGTTGCTGCTGCTGCTGCTGTATTTACATTAGTTGCCCAAAATGCATTGCAAAATTAGTGACTTTCTTTTGTGCTTACTGTTATACTAATTAATTTATCTACATTATTTGTATGGCTCGAAGAAATAAACATTATCACCATCAATGTAGGTGATGCATTTTATCGTAAATTAGCTCCTTAGAAGATTTCTAAGATTATCCCTGTTTTCACTATTGCTACATATACACATTATCCTGTATATGTGACTCTCCAGAAATAGGTTTGGTGTAATGTCTTCCCCTGTGTCCTGCAGAAACAGTTGCCTGATACAGTATTACTAGTTTGCTTTCTCCTCTCATAGTTATTACCTTGAACTTATCCATTTTTGTTATTACTTTTATCATCATGTTTTCTGTAGCAGAGATGTAATCTGTGTTTTCCCTCACTGGGCTCCTCTCATCTCCTTGCTCCCATGTTAGCATGCTGGGGAGGGGAAAGCCAGAGTACTTTGTAGGGGGTTTCTTCTACCTTTCCTAAATCCTTGAAAACCTAACTTTTCTCATAGCCATGATGAGGTATGCCTGGTTTAATGCTTCACTCTCTATTAATAATTGACCATTCCCAAAAGCCGAAAATTATGCTCTCTACCGGCTGTGGTAAATAATATATCCTTAGAGTTGATTGGCTGCTGACTCAAGCCTGTGGTGCTGCAAAATCCTTATGTATTCACTTTTTTTTGCAACTTTGTCAGTAAGTCTTGTCATGTCCTTTTATTTTCATTCTTTTGCTTTTACTGTTTACTAGTACATACATCATTCTTTTTTACTTAGTTTTCCCCCTTCATCAGCTGGCAAGTTTTTACATTGTATCTATTAACCATAATAATTTTTGTTGCATTGATAGGCCTTTCTACAGCTTTTTTCTATGTACACCATTCTCCTTCTCTGTCTTTTATCTTACTGGAATAACTATTATTCTTGATTTTTTATTCAGTACAGGACCCAGTCTGTTGCGACCACACTGGCAGTATGATGTGAGATACAGTTTTCTCTGTAAAATCCCAAGAAAACACACTGGTTGTGTAAAAAACTGTAGTACTGTATTTGTATTTGTTTTCACATACATTATACAGTATACATGAGAAAGAGCCAGCTTAACTATTCCATTTGTTACATATGTTGTATGTGAAAACACCTTGCTAACTCAGATTAAAACTACTGCTAGTAATGCTAAGCTGCCTGATAGTCTCGCCTAACTTGAGTCATACCGTATTAAAAAAAAAAAAAGCATGGAGACACTGTGGCCCAGCTACTTAAGAACACATAAGCTCTTATCAAATTATGTGGGTGAGTGACTAAGGAGGAGTGTGGGGTATTCACACACACTTTACAGTATCAAAGTCACAAAAGTAAAATTGTTATATAAAATATATGCTTGTGTTTGTACAGTAACTCTCTTTTCATTTTTCAGGTAGCGGTGGTCCAGAAGAGGCTGACCGACCCTTTCTTTGTGGTGACGACTTGCGTCATGATATGCGGTATGATCCACATCCAGAACCCCGAACAGACCTGCGTCATGATCCACCCCTGGACCTTCGTGGTGAAATGAGAGGGGACCAACGACTTGACCCTCGTACAGACGTTCGGGGAGAGGTACAAGGAGGGGAGAGGTTGGGATCATCTCCACCTTTGCCTCCCAGCTCACTACCACATTCATGTCAGTTGTGTGGCAAACTCATCTCATGTCGCCGTAATCTGTGGAAGCACATGGAACGTGTCCACTTCAACAACCCCGCCGTCCGCTGCTCGCTCTGTGCTAAGATGTTCAAAAACAAATATGCCCTTAAGGATCACCAGCGCATCTACCATGGGGGTTTGAGTGAACCACCACCACCTCCCCCTCACTCTGCCTCCTTACTATCACGCATCCTCCAAGATCCTCGGCACCAGCAACCTCCTCAGTCCCACGATCCCCGAGGAACTCTAGAAATGGCCCAGCCCACACTTCTGCCTCGAGATTCCCACCTTCGCCACCACATGGACTCTCCTCATTCCCAGGCTATTTCCCGTAGACACCACGAGGATGAGGATGTTGGGGGTGGAGCTGCTTACCCAGGTATGGGTATGGGCACTATGATACCACAGTCTCTGGCTCCGACCATAGTAGGAAGCCCGTCCTCACTCAGTGGCCCACGTCCTGAGTGGCCTGCCCAGGACAACCCCTTGGCACTGGTTAATAGAGCTCTGCTCTCAGAGTTGCATCACTTAGTAACTAAGGCCGACTAAGCACTTAGTAGGTGGTCGTGCTGCTCGCTAGTCTGCCCCACACCAGTCACTCCGGTGGTACTCGGCCCCATAACTCCCTCATCCATGAGGGTGCACCTCGCCCGGCCGTCCTGTGCCCTGCCTCTGGTGCTGGTTGGTGTGAATCAATGCCCTTACAACGACCACACCTGCACCGCCCACTGTGGGAAACCTGTTGGATATATATTATCCATGGTATCCAGTGACAGCTGTTGTAGCCAGCCAATAACATCTTTATAGTGTGCCGAAGTGGGCCTAGACGGCCACCGTATCTCATTCTTGATAGCTTTAACCTCCTTCGGAGTCCCGCTGTTACCAAACGGGAGCCGTGTCCCTGTCTGGTGCCTGTTCGACACGGCATGTAGTCGTTACCACAATAGTCTCTCCAGTTGTGTGTTCAGCTCGCACCTGCAGCTACCCTGTAAGTAGGCAGCCTAGAAATATGGATGCACATGCTTCCCTAACTCACTGACTTAACAAGAGGTCCATAATGACAGTCCTGAGGTTATGACGACATCTGCTGGTGGAGATGGAGGCATTGAAATCTGCTTCGGATTTTTCATTCCAGCAGTCTGTAAACCTGTGATTGTATCGTGATATGAGTGACTAATTAAGGTGTATGGATAAAAAAATTTAATATATTGGGTTTATTTATGTCAAACAAATACCCAAAATAGCATATATTGGCTGTGATAGAAATAATATGAATATTGTATGGATGTGATGGAAAAATCCTCTTAATGAACTTATTTGAAGATTCTGAATCAGTAATCAATGTGTCCTACACATGACTGCCTGAGTCGCGCCTTGAACTCGGTGGTCCACGGAGGCAGCACAAAAGGTATCCCCTGCTTGCGTCCATTTACAACTGGCATAATGCACTCCTGCTGCCCTGGTATTTCATTTTATCCAAAAAAAAATGGCTAGTCACTATATGTGTCACGTAAAAGACAAATGGCAACAGTGTCTTTTAGTGTGGCTTTGAATATAATTTTTTGTCAGCCAACTCATTAAATTAATATTGCTTTTTACTTCACTTGCATTACAATTTTTATCAATATTTAATCAACAGGGTAAAAGTATTAATATCTCAGATATATATGATAATTTTGAAGTTCTCTGTCGTTGCTCTTGCTCTCCTCAAATGGTCAGGCATATGTTTGCTTATGTGATTCAAGCTGCATGACATAAATACACCCATAGCACTAACATGTTAATGCACCCATTGTTAAATATACATCATTCCTTGTTCCTTGTTGTTCCAGTCAGTATTTCTAAACATGGCACAAACTGATGTTCTAGCTGTCATTTTGAACATCCATACAGTAATTATAAGCTTGCACTGATGTTTTCTGGTTGCTCACAACACATTGTATACTATCTAGGCTGGGCTGTGGTTCATCACATGGGACAACTTTGTCTTGCGCCATAGCACAGGAGAGCAATCTTTGATGCACCACTAGTTTGGGCCTTTTGCTACTGTACAGAGAATCGTGCCTTGTGCCACCATAGAAAGCTCCACCGTCTGTCACTGTAGGTTATGCCAATATTTAGAGATCTGACTAAAGAGCTAATGTATAGAGAGCTGTGCCTTGTGCTGTTGTATTGTAAAGAGTTTTGCACCTTTTGCCACTATTTAGAGAATGTGCCCTGACCAACAAGACACTAAAGCCTTGTGCCAGTTCCATTTATATTCATAAGGTACTGTTATCATGCTCAGCATGAAGCTCCACATCATATAGCTTGCTGCTATATAGTGGAGCTAGCCTTAAAATCATCATGGATAGGACAAGGTATTTAATATTCATCTAGTGTAGCATGGAACAAAGTCGCCTGTTGTTAGTATTGATTACAAGTGTGTCAGAGATGATTCAGATATGGAGCCATTATGTAGAAAAGTGGAATTGTGGTCCACTATGCAGGGGAGCCATTGTCACAGTGCAGCATCCATGGACCAGTGGGAGGCAGCCACCTTTATACTCTCTACTTTCGTGAAGGCTGTGTCTCCGTTTCTGTGATGTATTGAAGTGTGCTGTTGTAACGGTTATGCAGAGCTCTTTATATTTTTGATACTGTAGAGTATTTTGCGCAAGGTTCCTAGGTATAAATGATAATTTACATAAATTAGAATCTAAGTGCAATCATACTAAAATATAACTTGAGGTTGGTCACTAAGGCACCAGATAATGCAAGTTGAGACATGCAAAACAATAACCAAGAGCTTGTCATCAGCTACATTGATTCTTATATAATTTAAAGCATCTTTTGCAACATTTTGTGTACATAATTTATATTGGTACTGGAGGATTGCACTTAGATTCTTAGTGAAGATGCAAATTGCCACGTCCAGAGCAATATGGTGGAGGAGGATGGATATCTTGTTGCCCGAACTGGTTTAAAAGTTAGGGTTACAGTTGAATACTTTTCATATACAGAAGAGGGATAATACCCAAATTGCAGTTATAGACTAAGGCATGGAAAGTTTCCTTAATGGCTGTGGAATGGATTATTATTATAGTAGTGAAGAGGGAGTTGAAATCAGTGATAATCTATATTTTACTATTTATGATGGTCAATTGGTGATATTCTCTATTTTAATATTTATGGTTTGTGATAAAGTGATTGAGCTTTAATACTGTGTATTTTTAAATGAAAATAATTGGGATAATCATCAGATTGTGTCTTAGAATAACTTGAGTTTGTTTAAATGTATATATTAATGATAAGTATGAGCACACATGTAAGAGAGAGGAGTTTGAAGATTTCAGTAGGACCAGGTCTTTCATATAAGGTGTCTTGTGAGTTTTGTAATACTGGAGGATGCCTGGTGAGTGCAGAGATGTCCTAACGAGACTTTCCTCCACCACCACCCTCCCGGGCGTGCTGTGTAGGCTGGGGGGCCTGGCTGGTACAGGAGACCCAAGGTTGTGTCTGCTCACTACTAGAGTCCATGCCCACAAATCCCAGGTCTCAACCTGTATTTTAAACTTGTTTGTGCTGTAAATAACAGGTCGGAAGGTGAGGTTGTAATCCTGGATTTTGTGTATTGTCTTAAATGGATCTCAGCAACTTATCAAGTCTCACTAGATGCATATATAAAAAAAATATGGCATTTTGTCTAATGTGTTTAATAAGCTTTCTTTATTATGTAGACATACATGAAAATCAGTAAAGAAACAAATGTGTTTCAGAAAATATTTACAATGTGGTACCATTAAAAAGTGTATTGTTAAACCATAAGGTATTAAAAAATTCACCCAAAATCCCTACAGTTGTAGTTAAAACATGATAAGTTGCTTAGGTGTATTAAGATTGTGTGTTTGTCTTGTGAGTAAGAGTCTCGGACCTATCCATACTAATGCTTGTTAAAACAGTGCCTAGATATTTTAATAATTGAAACCAATATTAATAGACACAGAATTTATTTTATACAGTAGGTCTTCTAAAATTGACTACAATGCAGTATTTTGCTTCTGTCTCCAAGAACATAATATATATGTACAGTAGACAATCAGAAATTCAATATTCAGTTCTGAATGATCTTTTTTTTTTTTTAAATTTGATGCCAAAATTAGAATGTGGGAAATAATGACATATTTGTATTGCTGGAGATTCATTCCCTAGGTTAAAAGTCACCCAAGTCATAATAAAATCAGTCAAGAAAGAGTTCAGCCTTTTTAAGGCACATCATGGGTAAGTGTGACAAACTTTAGTCTTGATTATTATAAGTGTGAAAACTGTGAGACCATACTTGAAGTCACAACCAGTAGAGTTAAATGTGTTGACACAGCATGAAGGAGGTGTTTTGTCTACATGCTTTTTTTTTTAGACCTTATTTTTTATGTTCCTACACAAATTTTAATAATAATTAATCCCTGGACCTCATAGTAATATTCAACAATGCATAGTTAACTGTATACTATACACTAAATTGTACCAAAGTCAGAGTAAACAAATTTGAGCGTTAAAAAAAGTCAGCATGAGACTGCATGAAAAATCGGCAGTCTGCATCTCTTTCATCACATTTTGTTTATGTTCCCATGCAATTATAACTCATAATATTAATCCCTAGAACTTCTATTATTATTATAAAAGGCCATACTAATTATAAACTTGCCTCTTCTTCCTCAGTCACCATCTCTTCCTCCCTTCCTTTTTCTTTCTCTCTCCCTTTCCTTCACTAACCACCTCTCTCTCACTAACCACCTCTTCCTCCCTCCCTCATCACCTCTCTCTTTGTCCTCCCTCTTACCACCTCTAACTCTTTTCACCACTTTGCTCTCCCTCACCACCTCTCCCTCCCTCACCAGCAGTACCTGGTCTTGTACAGTTCAGTCTAACAGGTTAGATCAGTAATTCCTCTTGAAATTTTTATTCTACTTTCACATTTGGAATTGTCATCAGAGAAGATCTGTGAAGCTTTCTATATACATATATTTAAAGACTTTAGATGTTGTGCTCTTCCAGCAGAGCCTTCGATTTTCACCTGTAAAGCAATAATCGCTTTGCCAAATTAATAACTCCATAAAAATCAGTCTGAACAACAGGAAACTGCTATAGTATATTTTATTTATGTTAAATACTGTAATATGAATTAAATTTAGGCTGACTTAAGATACATTTAGTAGGATTAAGGTAAGTTATGTTACATGAATTTTAGCAGGATTTAGTGAGTTACTAAGTTAGTTGTGGTACAAAATTAAAAATTTTCATGCTATGGTAATTCACAAAAATGTCTTATTGCATAATTTCTTTTTAATGATTAGTGTTTAGAGTAGTTTACTTTGTTTCACCAACATTCTAAAAAGTTCAGCATCGATATTTATTGTGTAGTCAGATGTCCTAAAATATTTGGTGTAAATAGCAATGTGATACACTTGAAAATGCAGTAATAAATGCTGTATATACCAAGGCTATGCTAAATCTGTATACTGTGTATATAATATACAGTACTATATTTCAGTGTTTGGATTCCATGAATCGCAATAGGAATAGCTACCTGTTTGTTTAACATTTATAATACTAGTAACAGGCTCTCAGATTACTTTTCCACCCAGTTTTGTAATTTGTCTTCATCTGTACACATGCACACTTGTTCTCCTCTGCCATCTGCCCCAGATGCTGTTCAAAACACCACCATCATTCAGCCACTGGTCAGTGTTCATTGTGGACATCTTATTATTTGTCACAGTTCAGTTTGCTATTTCATTCTGGAGGATGGTGGTCTGCAGGCCTCTTACTTGGCACATCAGCAGTGTTTCACTCAGTGTACCATGTTGTGTGTGCATAATTGCATCTAGAATGAGGACTTAAACTACCTAAATCTTAATAGCATTGGTGATATTTTGGTGGCTCACACACTGCCTAAATGTCTTTTACCCCAACTCGAAGACTTGTCAGTTGCATTTTGGGTTCACATTTGTTATATACCTGTTCAGTGAAAGCCAGGCAGTGCATACATTTTGGATTTATAAGTGTGCTCTGGAGGAACCCTTATATCACCTGGGAAGTTTCCATACAGGACTCCTTTCCTTCCCATCTATTAAAAATGCCTTTGAGACAAATTTTCTTAAAAGTTCCAGATCCCATAAAGGGATTCCTGACTGGTCTTTGGATTTGGCACCTTTAGGGGAATTCCTTAATATTGGTTAAGACTCTTGATCTAGGAAATTAGAGCTAGCCCCCTTTCCTTGGATCAAAACCTGATTGCATCTCATTTCCGTGGCATTATTGTTTTCCCATGATGCTACTAATGATAATTTATGTGGTGTTAGCATATATTACTTCATATCTTCTTAGTATGCCCTTGGAATACCATATGTACTCCACACACAAGGCAGCATTCCTTCTGGCTGTTGATTTGGATGTTTGGATAGGCACCCTTCAGGGTGCCTATCCAAACATCTTGCCAGATCTGTTGTTATTCATTTCCATGGAACTGAAGATTATTTTCTGATTGTGGGCCTGCCTACCAATTAAGTACTCTACTCTGTCATTACCTTGTAGGATTACCTTGTACCCTCCAGTCTGGTGTCTACATCAATTCAGGTTTTGAAGTCAGCATCAGCTCTCAGCTTGTCCACCACAGTAGAATGTTTCATTACAGTATATCTGCTTACACCAGCCAAAGTCTTCCTACTCCCAGAGTGAGGACCTGTGACACTGGCATTTGTTTCTCTGGCTTTCATTTTGGACAGCATGAAGATTGCACGTGCTTCGAACTTCTCCCAGCGCTGCAGCACTGTAACATGATCAATCAGTTTTCAAACGTCGCCTACCTGTGTCATCAATATGCTACACTGAGGTCAGTTCCACTTCTAATTTTATTACATTACATACTTTCTATTATGTTTATATTAGGGAACAGTGATGGTTACTTCCCCTCCACCATGTGCAGGGTAGGGTATTCAACCTGGCTTGACCAAGAGAGAGCTAATGGTCCAATGTATTAACCATCCTAACTTTTTTAATCATAGTAGGTTAGGTTACTGAAAGCAGTGAAGAGCTTTTACGAGGATAGTGAGGCTCAAGTTAGAGTATGTAGTAAAGAGGGAGATTATTTCCTAGTAAAAGTAGGCCTTAGACAAGGATGTGTGATGTCACCGTGGTTGTTTAATATATTTATAGATGGGGTTGTAAGAGAAGTAAATGCGAGGGTTTTGGCAAGAGGCGTGGATTTAAAAGATAAAGAATCACACACAAAGTGGGAGTTGTCACAGTTGCTCTTTGCTGATGACACTGTGCTCTTGGGAGATTCTGAAGAGAAGTTGCAGAGGTTGGTAGATGAATTTGGTAGGGTATGTAAAAGAAGAAAATTAAAAGTGAATACAGGAAAGAGTAAGGTTATGAGGATGATAAAAAGATTAGGTGATGAAAGATTGGATATCAGACTGGAGGGAGAGAGTATGGAGGAGGTGAATGTATTCAGATATTTGGGAGTGGAAGTGTCAGCGGATGGGTCTATGAAAGATGAGGTGAATCATAGAATTGATAAGGGGAAAAGGGTGAGTGGTGCACTTAGGAGTCTGTGGAGACAAAGAACTTTGTCCTTGGAGGCAAAGAGGGGAATATATGAGAGTATAGTTTTACCAATGCTCTAAAATGGGTGTGAAGCATGGGTGATGAATGTTGCAGTGAGGAGAAGGCTGGAGGCAGTGGAGATGTCATGTCTGAGGGCAATGTGTGGTGTGAATATAATGCAGAGAATTCATAGTTTGGAAGTTAGGAGGAGGTGCAGGATTACCAAAACTGTTGTCCAGAGGGCTAAGGAAGGGTTGTTGAGGTGGTTCGGACATGTAGAGAGAATGGAGCGAAACAGAGTGGCTTCAAGAGTGTATCAGCCTGTAGTGGAAGGAAGGCGGGGTAGGGGTCGGCCTAGGAAAGGTTGGAGGGAGGGGGTAAAGGAGGTTTTGTGTGCGAGGGGCTTGGACTTCCAGCGGGCATGCGTGAGCGTGTTTGATAGGAGTGAATGGAGACAATTGGTTTTTAATATTTGACGTGCTGTTGGAGTGTGAGCAAAGTAACATTTATGAAGGGATTCAGGGAAACCGGCAGGCTGGACTTGAGTCCTGGAGATGGGAAGTACAGTGCCTGCACTCTGAAGGAGGGGCATTAATGTTGCAGTTTAAAAACTGTAGTGTAAAGCACCCTTCTGGCAAGACAGTGATGGAGTGAATGATGGTGAAAGTTTTTCTTTTTCGGGCCACCCTGCCTTGGTGGGAATCGGCCAGTGTGTTAATAAAAAATAAATAGGTATGTTATGACCCCAAGCAGTATAAACATAGAGTAATATACCCAGACAACTGTTGGGAGATGTCAAATCTAAACTAAGTGCTTTTTCTGAACTCTAGCATTAGTAGTTCTCCTCAGAATTTTGCATTGCTGGTTCATGCACTTTATTATTAAAGGTTGCTTTTGATGTTACATCCATTCTTTATGTATGTACAGTGGTCAGGATTTTTCTAGCTAACAGAGATAAGCTTAAGTGACATCCCTCACCCTAGGATGCCCTTCAAAGGAGCTTCCTTGATGCTAGTGAGGGGCTCCTGAGCTCAGGAATAGGACCTGTATTCCCCTTCCTTGGATGAACCTGAATGCTTCCCATTCCTCCAGGCACAGTATGACTCCTATGGGTTTAGCACTCCCAGTTACTGTAATAATAATTAACATGAGTTGCAAGGCTTTGGCCAGGGCCTGTATAAGAATTTCTTGGCTCATAACTACACACATACATAGTGTATAGTAATTTAGTTTTATGAATCACCAATGTCAGAAGTTCAGCATTTCCTGTCTAGGGTATTTTCCTTGTGGTCCTCAGCTGCTGCCGCCAAGAAACAAGGTAGTGATAATATGATTCCTGACATGGTCCATGGAACCCAAATACAGGATATAGCATCTTGAAGAATGAAAGCTGCTTTATATGGTAGATTTCATGAGCTCTTCCTTGCTAGGCTGTTCTGAATGGTGATGTAGTCCTAAGCATTGTCTAAGACAAAGGCTAAAGAGAGTAACAGTGCACCTGTATGAAATTAATGTAAACAAAGGACAAAACAGGGAAAAGTTATCTTTGAGTATTGTTACTGGAGTTATAGGTTTAACAGATGGCTTGCTATTCCTGAAACATAGAATCTGAACACAAAGTAGTTTTTTACTCTTCAGAGCATTATATACACTTCATGTACTGTGTATATATGTGATGTGTTTTAGGTGGCTAGTCAGACATTGCCAAACTACCTTAAAAAATATTTTTCTAAAAATTTCCTCTTTTTGTATTGTTAGATATGTTTCTTTGTGAATTAACATACAGCATACTATTTTTTTTATTTAATGCCAAAAATAACCTGGTAAAAATTTATGTAATATAATTTAAGCTAAACCTACTGAATCTATCTTAGGACAGCCTAAATTTGGTTAGTATTATTTAACATTCATGAAATATGTAAATTTCTTGAGGGTCAGACAGATTTTTGCAGTGTTGTTCTGTAACAATAAAGTTACACTGTTGTTTGGCAAAATAGTTTATGCTGTTTTAGCCAAGATAGCAAAGTTCTGCCTAAATAACAATACACATGTATAGTACTGTATAGTTTACAGCATGTTTATCTCACGCACATTATAATAATAATTACTGAAATTAGTGACTTTTTAGTTGAAGTAGTTGAATATCTGTGGAAATAAATGGTATAAAATACCAAAACAATGGAAAAATAAACACATAAGCAGTATAATGTGATCCTTTATTGACAACGTTTTGCCCACACAGTGGCCTTTATCAAGTCACAAACAGATCTACCTAGGTGAAAGGTATATAAGCATTTATAGGATGGAGTCAGGTGGAGAATTCTGGGTAGGTTCAATAAGGACCTGCACGGGACTGGCGGGTGCGTATGTAGTTATGTGGGATAACGATGAAGAAGTTTCTTTTCAAGGGGTTCAGCTATGTTATAGAAGCCGTTGTTTTGGCTGAAGTTGTTGGATACATGTATAAATAAGTGATGATTCCAGGATTCTGCGGTATTGAGTGTTTTCTTATCTGGTGATAAGTCCTGTGCTTCTGTAGTTGATTAAATGGTTGTGTGAATTTCGATGTTGAACACAGGCATTCTTTAAATCATCCAATCTGCCTGTGTACTGGCATCTGAAATATGTACATGTTTGGAGGTCTCTGGATGTTTTGCCCACGTGTAATTTGTTGCAGTCATTACGAGGGATTATGTATACCTCTGCAGAGGATTGAAGCTTGTCCTGTCTATTACTGGTAATGTCCTTGATGGTGGTGGATGTGGAGGTAGATACTTGGAATGAGGTATTGGAAAAGTTGTTGGAAACGTGTTTGGCAATGGAGTTGGTGGGGAGGACTATGTATCTCCTCTCGGCAGTGTCTTCTCTGGGTGTGTTAAAGATTTTATATGCCTGGTGTCTGCAGTCTCTAATGAAGTGACAAGAATAGTGAAGTTTAGAAAATACTTGCTCAATTAGAGAGCATTCTTGTTCAAGGAACTCATTGCTGCAGATTCAGAGTGCAAGCAGGAAAAAGCCTATAATTACACTACGTTTAGTTTTGGTGTCATGGTGAGCATAGAAGTGGAGAAGATCGTGTTGGTTGGTAGGTTTTCGATAGACTTTAAAACGAAGTTCTTGGTCAGCTTTGCAAAGAACATCATCAAGGAAAGGAAGAATGTCATCGACTTCTAGTGTGAAATGGATTGAGGGCTCAACCTGGTTGAGCTTGTGTTGGAGAGCTTGAATGTTAAAGCATCTGGGAGTTATGATGAGAATGTCGTCAACATAACGGAGCCAGGTGACTGAAGAGGGGTTAATAAATTAAAATCCTTGGCTTCCAGATGTTCCATGTATAGGTTTGCCAGTACAGTGCTAAGTGGCGAACCCATGGGTAGTCCAAAAGTCTGCTGAAGGAGGCGATTTTTGAAAGAGAAACACATAAAGCCAACAAATAGTTCAACAAAGTCGATGAAATCGCTAGCTCGAAAGGAAGGTCAAGTGAATCATCAATTTTCCTGCGCAGGAGATCGAAGGCTTGTGAATCGAAGGCTTTGGTGAATGGGATGTTACGTCAAGGCTAGAAGAGTTTCTTGTTCCTGATGTTGATGTTGCAAATGCAATTGACAAGATCACCTGAGTGTTTGAGATGTGCTGCACTGATTGTGCCCAGGAGTTTAGGGAGGTGTTTAACGAGAAATCCCGAGAGTTGGTGGAGAGCACTGCCTATTCCCAAGGATATGGGCCTCAATGGGATAACTAGCTTGTGGGTTTTTGGCAGGTCATACATTCTGCCAGGTCTGGGATTGCTGGGAATTGTGTGCAGAAGTTTCCTCCCTTGTACTGAGTCCCTCAGAATGAGACGAGTCCAGTGAAGAAATGTTTTGGTAGGGTTGTCTACTTGGTTTGGTGTGAGAGGTTTGTAGGTATCTGGGTCATTAAGTCATTAAGGGTCCTTAAGTCTCTTTCATTAGAGACTGCAGACACCAGGCATGTAACATCTTCAACACACCCAGAGAAGACACTGCCGAGAGGAGATACATAGTCCTCCCCACCAACTTCATCACCAAACACGTTTCCAACATCTTTCCCAATACCTCATTCCAAGTATCTACCTCCACATCCACCACCATCAAAGACATTACCAGTAATAGACAGGATAAGCTTTAATCCTCTGCAGGGGTATACATAATACCTTGTAATGACTGCAACAAATTATACGTGGGCGAAACATTCACAGACCTCCAAACACATATTTCAGAACACCAGTACACAGGCAGATTGGACGATTTAAGGAATGCCTGTGTCCAACATCGAAATTCACACTACCATTTAATCAACTACAGAAGCACAGGACTTATCACCAGAGAAGAAAACACTCAATACCACAGAATCCTGGAATCATCACTTATCTATATGTGTATCCAACAACTTCAGCCAAAACAACAGCTTCTATAACATAGCTGAACCCCTTGCCAAGAAACTTCTTCATCGTTATCCCACATAACTACATACGCACCCGCCAGTCCTGTGCAGGTCCTTATTGAATCTACACAGCATTCTCCACCTGACTCCATCCTATAAATACTAATGTACCTTTCACCCAGGAAGATCTGTTTGTGACTTGATAAAGCCCACTGTGTCGGCAAAATGTTTTCAATACAGGAT